AAATTTGTAGGTTTTTGGTAGCCTTTAAACTGCACCATATTTGTATCTAAATAGAAAAGATCTCTTGAAGTAATCCACTCCTGGTTGAATGGGTGGAAAAATTTGGGGTAACTGCAAGAAGGGGCTTCTTGGAAAAGCTGAAAAAATATCAGAACATTCCCTTTCATTTCAAAATGCCTCTTCATCAAATTACTTTAAATCCAAATCTGCCTTATGCCTTATTTAGAGGGACTTTTGAACAATCCATATAGTTTATATAGTTATTAGTTTTAACTGATTCGGACCCAAATGTCTTTTATCTCAAGGGATTTTTTTTTTCTTAATTCAATGCAATTCAGTTTATTTATATATTATTTATTTATATATTAACGAAACATGTCATCTCAATGCACTTTAGTTTAAGTCGAATTTTAGGTTCATCAGATCATATGGCCCAATCGATTCAAAGTTTTCTATCTAAGGAAAACCAGTTGATTGTGTCGACTCATCCCTCACACTATGCATATCCTTATTAGAACTGTATCAGAACACAGGGTGAAACTCCAGAACACTGCAGCACATCTGCAGCTTGATTGACTTTAAACAGGGTGTAATGCACTTTTAAGCTTTGTGCATGATTTATATTTACTTACCTAAAAAATTCTGAAAAGGTTTTTTTAATCTTTTTTTTGACAATTTTCTAAGATTGAATCCTTAATGGTGGTCCGGCATTTTCAGTGTTCTTTGGTCAAGAGCAATTAAAAAAATAAATAAATGGATGACCTAAATATGAGCCAAAAACATTCGTAAAACATGATGAAAAATATCAAATGACCTCCGATTCGTTCAACTTATTAGATAATATAGCACTTTGTTAGGAAGTAGTCCTACTGTGAACTCCTTAGTGGATGCATGTTGTCAGTACGTGTTTGCTTCAAATGATCTCTCCAGGGTGTGCTATGTTTACCGGATGTAACGGATGTAGTTTTAATCTGACAGCAAGTCCACGGGGGAAAATCTGTCTTGTCAAATACAAAAAGGAAATGTTCTTTTTATTCACTTGGAAAACTCTTACAAAAAGAAACACTCAAACTGGAACATTTCTGCTTCACTTCTTTGCTTCTGTACTTTTATGTGCCTCCTTTTGAAATAATTGTAAGCGAGTATGGCTCAAATTTAATTACATGGTCTATAAAAATCGCTCCCAATGCAAAAGTTTTATTACACCAAAAAAGAGTTGGCTAAAACGGGCAAGACATTTTATATTTTTTACCATCCAGAAAGATTTTTTTTAGCCTTAACCAGCTGGTCCTCATGACCCCGTAATATGCCAGATGCTTGTTGGGAGGTCAAGCCAGAGACAAATCTTTTGATCTCTGCAATAACAAAAGTAAGCATGAATTTTGCTAAGTTCTTTTAGGACCTTTAACTGGAACCATGTGCTTTGGTTACAGCCCTTTCTCCAGCCCTTTCTCGACAAACCTTTCCTGTTGATGCTGCCTGAAACAAGAATTTGTGAAAAGAACTCAGGCCTTCTTTCCAGCGCTATCGGGGACCCGTAATGTTGTGGGACTGTGTTTTTTTTTATCTAAATGCCATATCATTATGTAAATATTAGCAAAGACATTTTCTATAAACATCTTTTGGATTCTGCTGGAAGAGTTTGTGAAATATTATGGGGGACTGAGTGCTCCTCTATTCCCAAAAAAGGATTGGACAGTGAACGTCAGAAGCACTCATTTTGCCACTAGAGGTTATATGCCACCCCCACCACCTTACCCTCACTGTATAAATATACACAGGGATAATATTTGATGTTTAGATTCAACAAACAAATTGACTCAGTGGTCAAATCCTGTTTTTACCACCTGTATCTTCTGACCAAATTAAAATCTTTTTTTAAATCCTCTCAACTTGGGGAGGACCACACAGTTCTAATCCTAACTGTTATAATGGTCTCTGTGTTTGTGTCTCAATTTTCTCCTAAACATCTTCAGTTATGTCCAGAATGCAACCGAAATCTGCAATCATTTTAGAATTGATTTCAAATTATTGTTGTTTGGATGAAGTTTTGCATCTTTCTGCACATGGCCGAACACTGTGGTATATAAATCAATTTTAATTACATGTTTTAAGGAGCAGACTTAAGTGTTGGGATGACTGGGAGTTTCCAGCAGCAGCGCTCTCACTCTGGAACTAAATTCTTTCAGAAAGTTCCAAAACTTTTTAGATTGTGATCCCAAAAAATGCAATGCAGAAATGCAAATGCAATGCAAACAGACTAGAGTCGCCTAATATAAGTATAAGTATGTTGATTTATATTTATTTATACATATACAGTAGTAGCCATTCAAAATGTCCTTGATGGGTCCTTGGTTGTTCCCATACAATTCCTTTTTAAACATACATTTTTATACTAAAATATTCTTTCTTTCATGATTTGTAGTCATGAAGATCTAAAGAGAAGAGCCACCTCCCTTTAACTCAGGGAAAGGGTGGAGTCGGCGTAAAACTAATGTGCATCTCCAGGATAAGGGGGGGTCACTCCAGTGGCTGGAAGTTTGGGGAGATTTTGCTGAGAGCTGCAGGGGAGTCTGCTACCATTCAGCTGCCGTTTGACTGGGAAGGGCCATTTTGAACCACTGCTACTGTAAAGAGAGAATACTTTTCCATTTTAGATACATTTTTATCTGGCATTTATTATTAAATTAATTTAAATGTGTTTTTAGTTATGCAATGGGCCATTTATCATGTCTTTTACAGTTAATGGTATATTTAATATCTCAATCATGTATTAGATAAATAAATCTGCTTATTTTGTGATTTTAGGTGGTACATTTTATGTTCCTTCCACATACCTCATGGATCACGTCACAGATTGTAAAAACCATCTCATAACGCCCACATGGTGACGAACCCCAGGGGGATGCTGACCCCCACCTTGCTAACGCCTGCTTAAGACCTTCACTTCACCTCCAACCCAAGCAGCTTTCAATACAAGCTTTAAACTTTATTTAAATGCAGGCTTCTAATACCAAGTAGTTTAGCGGCATTGTATTTTTTTTGTGCTGCCTTGTTGCCTCATTTAACAAATCTAGAATTTCTAGCTAACAATTTTACCTTTCAAATAATACAAATCCCTCAACACAAGTAAATGTTCATTTTTTCCATCCTATACAACTTGCATTTTCTTCCACACCATATGTTACCAAATCTATTTATGTCAGCTATGTGTTTATTTAACTGAAGGTTCTCCTTAATTTAAAGAGCCCATTAGTCCTGAGTCCAGCTGAGTTAAAGTTGTTTCAAATCGCAAATATTATAAAGGCTTTTAATAAATATGTGCTGCAGGAAATCTGTTAGCAGGATAACAACAACAGTGGATCTAAAAACATTTTGTGTTATTTTAATGTCATTCTGTTGTGACAAATTAAATCAAATATTGTTTAAAACCCTACTAAAGCTTCTAAGATTTGTATTTCCTATTATACTAGATTAGTTGGCTTTTTATATCATTTTAGACCAATACTGAGAGCAGTTGTAGGTTAAAAGAGCCACTTGTGGCTCCAGAGCAGGTTGCACACCCCTGGTCTATGTGTAGCATCATATTTCCTCAGCAATTCCTTCCTCCTGTAAAACCCTACTTGGTATTAAAGTGTTTCCGATTCTGGGTCAATTCTTCGAGGACCTTTGTCGGTTGTTTTAAAATACTATCTAAATACACCAATTAACAAAAAAAAAGATATACTGAAATGAAAAGGTTGTGTTTTAAAAACATTTATGGTGAAAAATCGTGTGTCATCCTTACAAGAGGGCAAAAAATATTTCAGTAGATGTATTTATTCTATTATATACTCATTAAAGGGCATTGATCTCCAATGCTTCAGGCCTAAGTGTAAAGAAAGACCAAAACAATTTCTTCATCCACCTGTTGACATTTAATGAAAAACTCAAAGGAAAAACCCTGAAAGTGGATATCAAAATGGACAGTAAATGCGAAACAAAGGTTTCAAAAATAGTTCTTATATAGCATTTATTCAAAAGAGGCTAATGTTTAGGCACTTTGAACCATTTACAGTTTTTATTCATCATTCTACATGAGAGAGTACGTCTTTGGCCTCATTACCTTCTCAGTCAATTCAACTGAAACCACAGACAGAACGACAAAACCGCTTTCAGACTTAATATCAACTATTTACATCCCATCAAAACCCCATCAAAAAATCAACTCCCCAAAACCTCCATAAGTGTAAAGGCTGTCAACAGAGCAAAAACACATACACGTTGGAATATTCATTCCCTCCTCCCAACTTTATAACAGCAGTATAAATCAAAATAACTCACGCTTGTGATATACAGTAAGATTTCGCATTAAAAGTTGTTTTTTTTGGTTAAAGAATTGTTAAAGATTTAAACTAACCCCGGCTCTATAATTCATTCCAGTAAACCTCCAGCAAAGGTCAGACTGCATTCTGGCTCATCTGCTTTGTCCGCTTTTATCCGCTTCAGTAAGTCAGCTAGCCCACTAACTAGCAGATTCCACATCCTCCGTCTCCGTGCCGCCCACGTACGTCTTGCCGAGTACTTGTCTGCCATGTTAATCAATAAGAACTGTTGCACATCCACCGCTACTCCTCCGATTGACACCGTCCACGTACTTCTTCTCTGTCCTTCAACGTCAAAATATGGAGATGAGCTATTTTTTGGTCAGCTCCGGTCCAGCCAGGTTAAGATCCACCATTGCAATCAAACCAACTAAGACCGTTTAATTAAATTATTGGATGCAAACTATTGGTAATTCAACATTCCAGGAAGCAGCTGCGCTGCTTCTGTCTCCTTGTACCTCAGTCGGCCTCAGCAGATGGCCGCTCACACTGAGCCTGGTTCTGCTGGAGGTTTCTTCCTGTTAAAAGGAAGTTGTTCCTCTCCACTATCGCAACCAGCATGCTTAGTGTGAGGGATTGCATTCGGGTCAATGAGTCGATGCAACCAACTGGTTTTCCTTAGATAGAAAACTTTGAATCATTTTCACTGGATGATCTGGTGAACTATAAAGTGCCTTGAGATGACGTGTGTTGTGAATTGGTGCTATAGAAATACACTGAATTTTATCTTATACCAAGAGGCTTAAAAGTTTAGTCAAATCCGGTTACAACAACTTCCAAGAGGGCATCTGACACCTTCAAAAGAAACTTCTTATCGCAGGCATGGATGAAGAGACGCTGAGTTTGGAAATAAAGAACAAACATTGTTCATACAAACCATGGATCATCCTAGCTATCCCTGTAATAAAAATCCACAACTAAAAGAAAATATGTAGGCAGAAACTGCACATATGCTGGATGCTAATGGGGATTTCTTTTTTATATGTCATATTAAATTAAAGCGTTAAATTAAATTAAAGCGTTGTTTTCCACATGTTTTGCTCCCATGAATTTAATAATGATAACATCGTGCATGCTCTCCTCGAGCTCCAAGGAAGTCGGAGCGGAGCAAGACAGAAGGAACCGCCGAGCCTGTAGGCTTTGCTTTACGCAGGCGGTCTTGAGCGCAGTGGGGCGGAGCGGTTCAGAAGGATGTGGGATTTGGAGGTTCAGCAGAACTTTTAAGCGTTGGCACCATCATAACAAAGAAACTTACATTTAACCCAAAAAATCCACAAGAAGATGAACTAAAATATTCCAGGTATGTGGGTTATTCTATTAATGCTGCTGAAGGTAAACAGGACTTTGAGGATTATCAGAACGTTCTATGCACTTCATTCTGGACCTTTGCAATTTAATACTGTTCACACTTTTCACTGCTGAGAGACAGTAAACTATACAGTTAATAATAATATATGAGGTATGTGTTGAATATGCATCAATAGGCAACTCAGCTGGAACCAGTTACAAAACCAGTTTGTTGAAAAGACTGTTTCACAACCAGCAAAAATTTCCATCATAGCCTCTCATGGGGCTAGAGTCTGCTGCCTGTGAACATTTCAGAGTGATCAGAGTTTTATGCAGCTTTGTTGAGCATGGAGAAATAGGGGGCAATTCCAGTTTCTGCCAGCTGCTATCTACATACGTCCTTGATCTTCTAAATTTGTCCTGAGATATGTCTTGTGATCGGCTGGCCAATTGATCTGCCCTGATTTTCTAAATTGTGGAAGGTTGGTAATTCACTTAAACTAAGATGTGAAAATGTTCATATCCAACTTTTTAAATGAATAAAAATCCTGCACTGTCAACGCTTGCGTTTATATCTGAATGCAGTTTTTTGAGTTTTTATTTTTTCACAAAAATTTGTTGGATGATTTTTTTACAAAATAAGTTAGCAATATCGGAGGTGTCTTGTATAATGTGTAAAGAAAAAAATCCCATAACCTGTCATTCTTAGGCCTGACTTATGATTAAGCAAATTTGCGATAGACCGTAATATTTTATATTCATTGATCCCGTTGTGAGCTGTGCAACCCGTACTTCCAAGAGTTCCAGATGAATGTCCATTGCAGCCTTGATGGAGCCAGAATGCAGCAATGATGACTGCTGTGGACGAATTGGGAAAAAATGGTTCACCTCATAACAATTTAAAGGTAAGACATAAAGATTTTCAGATATCCGTAATAATGAAACTCAGCTGCAAGGCAGCCATGTTTGATAGGAATTACTACGCGCAGAGATGGACTGAACTTGTGCCACATAGTAGTTGCTGAAGTTGACGTCTCTGACGTATGGGGCGGGCTGGTAGTAGCAGGTGATGTTGGACAAAGCAGGGATGGCATTGTGTTCAGCCAAAACACGCAGTGCAAGGGCGGATATTAGAGCCAGCGTCTGCCGGCGCTCGTGGCCCATAAGACACACAGTGCTTTCATCCACCACTTGCCTCAGAGTCAGCAGGTACTCATAGCGCTTGTGTTCAATTCCAACAAAGTGGTTTTGCAGATATGCCTCCAGTTTCCTCTGCTGTTCAGATATGTCAGGGAAGTCAATGAAGAAGCGTGAGCACATGTAGCGTTGCATCTGTTTCATGTGACTCTTGGAGGACGGACGGAAGCCGCGGACCAGCAGGTGGCAGTACTTAAGCAAACCGCCACCCCGGATCTCTTCAGGGTTTCGGGTGGCAATAGTTCTGGATCTGAGATGTTCTAGAGCTTCTTCAAAATCTCCATACATGCTCTCGCCCTGCACGCTAGGGTGGAAGGTCTCAGACATGGCCGTCTCTGAGCAACGGTCAAACAGCAGCAATGAGTCCAGCGAGATCTGGAAAGAGTCTACGCTAAACTCGAACTGCCTCCTCAGCGAGTCGACGAACTTTAGCTCCACATTCTTGCCAGTGTTGTTGGACAGTGAGATGAGGCTCCAGCGGTCTGTGTCATTGCAAACCTTTACCAGTTTCTGCACATAGGCCTCCTTCAGTGCAAGGGCAGTAATTCTCTCCCTGCACACCCCTTCAGGAAGGAAGTCCACCAGGCAATCCAGCACCACGTCCTTTACCAGACGAAAGATTTTATCGTCAGAAAGACTTAAGCCAAATATCAGGTCCAGGTCTTTGTAGCCAAGGCCATTGTCTTGGTGAAGCACATGGCTGGCTGCAGAGCCATTTAGCTTTACATCACGTACAACCACACCCTTCTCCTCCAGTCGAGCCCTGACCACCTGGAACAGGCAGAGAAAAGACAGAAAAATTATTGTAGACAAGACATCAATCAAGTGAAGCCTGCAAAGAAATCAGAGATTTATACATTCAAAAAGAGAAACACACTTTCCTTCCGTTTTTTAAGGAAAGTAGTCGTGCACGATGTGCTACGGAAATTATACATTTTTTTTAAACTTTCTTTTAAATCAGAAACTGGGGATTCCTTACATCGAGCATATATGTAGTGACAGTGGAGAGGAGAGTGGAGAGCAGCCATCTGCTGAGGCCGACTGGGGCAGATAAAATAGGTAGCTGATAACCAGCTTCACAGACGGGACTGGACCACCTGTGGAGCTAGGTAACAGCTACAAACTGTCCTAGGTTATTAATGATAATTATTATAAAGATAACAGTAACATTATCATCTACATAGAGGGAAATAAATTCATTTCTGTGGCTGGATGAAGGTTCATTTCTAATAATGTGATTTCATTGTGAATATATAGTTAAAGTTGTTAAGAAATAAATAAAATATTAAATGTCCTTGAATAAATAAATTCAAAATGTACAAACAGGACAGTACGGAAGCCAAGATCGTTCGAGTCTCTCAGATACTTTTAGTATCTTTTAGTAGACGAAAGATGTCACAATGCGTTATCGGCTGTTGATCAAGTCCCAGTGCTGTATGTAGTGTTTGTCACAATGCGTCATTATCCATGATGGGGATGTCCAGTTTATTATGGAAAGCAGAAAGAGATGGCTTAATGACATATTTTTTCTCTGGCCAGAAGTTCGATGGCAAATCCTCCCTCTTCAAGTTGGCAATCCAACGACGAACCCGTCTGTGGAGGATCAGGAATCGGAAAGGGGAAATAACAAATTTTTTTTCACTTTTACCCGATGTATTCCAACATCCAACTGCCTTGCACGTGGGCATTGACAGTTTAACTATAGCTCTGGTGAATTTCAAAGGTGATGTGTCTAGTGGTTCCCATTGATTTTGTTGTAAAGCGGGGAGAATGGCGCTAGGCTTACCGCACTGTGACGTCACTGCCGGAAGATGGCAGGCGGGAGGCGTTACTATATTTGGGCAAAAGTGGCCGCTCCCAGATTTTTTATTTTTTTTACTGATTAAAGCTAAATTCATTAAATCACCATGAACCTATTAGTTTTATAAATAATGATCCATTGATTATTCCTTGCTTATGAAACTTTTCCTTTAACATAATCATAAGCAAATCGCAGTAATGCTAAGGATGTAAATTTTGTCAAATTTCATCATCATGCAATTTCCAGATTTTTTTTCATTGATCAGTAGGAGCATAAAAGTGTTGCTTTTGTTTGTTTCCTCTATTAGAAGACAGCATCACACCTAGCGATGGGGCTAACCACCCCTCCTCACTCAGATAAAGCCCCTTGGCAGGACTTTTTTGTCTATCTGAAAGGATGCTGAAAGAGGAATCTTTATTGATATCAGCTCAGATCTTTAGCAAAGATCAGATTAATCTGACAACAGATGAGCAACACAGAACAGCAGCACATCAGAAGTAAACCCTCGTGGCCAGTGACTGGTTCCACAGGGCAACTGGAGCAAACACCACTAATGTTCTGCTGGGATTGTTGGTAACATTACTGAACTCTGTACACATGTTCATGTTTCCTGTCTGTTTTACTAAAGCCACGAAGCCTAAAGCTTTAATCCAAAGCACAGATGTCCAGTTAAAACTTTCACTGAGCCTTAGGGATCCATCATTGTTGTATTTAGTTCTGGTTTTCAGTATAAACAGATGTTTAAGAATAAACAAAAACTTTTGTCTTTTTTTCTTAACTCTAGAATTAAGATCATGGGTTGATTAAACTGAAGGAATGTCTTTAAAAAAAAACAGTAAAACAGTTCAGAAGATAGAAAACATTTCAAAATTTACCTTTTGTTTTTTTTTTTTTACAGATTTATAATATCTAATAATGAA